AGAGACTTAGACTCCCACATAATAATAGTGGGAGACTTCAGCATTAATATTAGACAAATCAGTGAAACAGAAAATTAACAACGATATCCAGGACTTGAACTCAGATCTGGAACAAGTAAATGTAATTAACATTTATAGAACTCTCCACTTTAAATATACAAAATATACACTCTTATCAGTACCACATCATATCAACTTAGAAGTTTAAACGAAATCTTGGTTGGCTCCTTGTTTGTTATTCTCTTCCCTCATTTTCTTTTATATCTCCATTATTAAGGACAATTATAGGCATACCCATATTTAGACTGCATTCTAGCCTGGGCAATAAAGCAATACCCCCATCCTCTCTCCTTCTTCCTCTTTCTCTTTCTTCCTCTTCTTTATTCTTTTTCTTTAAAAAACAAAACAAAACAAAACAAAAAACAAAAACCAAGCCCAGAATCAGAGGAGTCACTGTCTCCCACAGCAAGACGAGGGATGCTCTGGAGATGAGAAGGACCCTGGGGGAGCCAGACAGGCTGGGTGGGGACAAACCAAGGTAGAAGCTGCCAACTGGTGGCCCCAAGTCTGCTGCAATCCAGGGATGCATTTATTTTTTTGCACAATTTAAAAAAATTTTTTACTATTAACATATTAATCTGCTTTAGTCAAAGCTTTTTTTAAAAAAACGAAATGCAAACATTAAAAAATCAAAATTTCCCTCTCATGTACATTGCACCCACACATATGCACATGCACACACACAATCTAGATATCTGGCTTCTCCTGAAAGCTCAGAAGATTTGGCAACACTGGGTAGCCATTGGCTGGAGCTGACAGCAGCTGGCCTTGTGAAGGATGAACACCTGGGTCCCCACAGTCCCCACCCCTTGCTGTCCTTTATACCTGGCTCACTGATGTCATCCATCTGACCCTGGAAGGCACTGGGTTTCGGACCACTGACTCTTGGGTTTCAATGCTGCCATTCTCAGCTGGGGGCTTTCTCAGATAGGGTTCTTATCCTGGTGGCCATGGGTAAAATGTGAGGGAGCCTGTGAATTTGGATGGGTATACTAATCACATGTTTCTGAAATTTTGACATCTGAGACTTTGCCGGCCCTGGCGAGACTCCCCCTTGCAGGGTCAGACAAAAAAAAAAAAAAGAAGAATTTTTGGACATAGGATGACAGAAACATAATAAAAAAGCCATGGTCTCTGTCCTCTAATTGAGATGAGATTAATGACTTTTTCCTAGACTTGCTTCTGATTGCAGTTTAGGTCTCCATGAGAGGGGAGGGAAGGGTTACCAACACTTGCTGAGTACCTACAATACTGAGTACTTGCCCGGTATTTTACATATATCACCTTATTTAACAATAATCTTGATAAATAAATATTACGTGTTTCACAAAAGAATAACTTAAGGCTCACATAATGTTTTAAGGTTACATGACAGAACCTAAATTAGAACTCCAATCTTTCACCTACACGACACTATCTAACAAATGAGTAACAGCAATTCATTTCAACTTAGGCAACTCTGAAGGCTTCTTACAGCGAAAGTATTTAAGACACACCTGAAAGTTATGAAAGAAAAAAGCATTTGAGGCACAAGGAACAGCAGGGGTAAAAGTATAGTGCAGGGTGAGTATCAGGTACATTCAGAAGGTAACAAGAATGCTTGCATGACTTTTATATTGGAGAGACAAGCTTAGGAAACAAAACTAAAAGGCAGATGAGTGTTAAATCATGGGCTTCAAAATTTTGCATCATTTTCCACCAGAGAAAGCTCTGTGATCATCAACTGGTAATTACAGGTGTGAGCCACCGAGCTCCTGTCATCAGCTGAACTTCCTTCTTCTCTGACTTCAGGGTACTTAACATTAAACAGCATGAAGTAGGTACTGTTATGACCATAAACTTAAAGATGAGACACAGAGAAGGAAATTGCACAAGATCAGTCCATAAGCGGCAGAACTGGGACTTAAACCCAGGCAACCTGGCTCCAGAGCCTGAACTCCTAATCTGTGCTATGCTGCCTGTCCAAGGAACATCTTTGTTCTTCCCCCTATTAAAATGTGAGTTCCTTAGGGAGAGAATGAAAACAGGTTCTTGTTGGCTTTTATTGGTGGTAGAGGCTGGGGGTGAGTGGGAGGGTAGTGCATATTTTCATCCCCCTCACCCAGGACAGTTCCTGGGACACAGTAGACGTTTGCCAATATTTGTTGAGCTGAACTGGCCTCAAATACTCAACTAAGCTGGGCGTGGTAGCTCATGCCTATATTCCTTGCACTTTGGGAGGCTGGGGTGAGAGGATCACTTGAGCCCAAGAGTTCAAGACCAGCATGGGCAATACAGGGAGACCCTGTCTCTATTAAATTTAAAAAGGAAAAAAAAAAAAGAGCCAGGCATGGTGGTATGCACCTGTAATTGCAGCAATTCAGGAGGCTAAGGTGGGAGGAACTGGCACCTCAATAAGGAAATGTCTCCATTTTTTATGCTACATTTGTATACCACTTAGTGTGCACATACAATTTCACAGCTGACCCTCATTACAATACACGTTATATTAGCTTTACAAATGAGGAAAGAACGTTCAGAGAAAAAACAGACAACCACTGAGTGTTGGAACTGAGAAAAAAATTTAAGTCTCCTGACCTCTGGTCAAATCTCTCCATTTACGCCCCAATAATACCACGTCCTTAATCAAAGTTGCACATATCTGTGCGACTGGTCTTTATTTCCCCCAGTGACTGTAAACTCCATGAAGAAAAGGACTGTTTTTCCTGACCACTGTATTCCCGGTGCCCAGTAAGGTGTTTTACAAGGAGGTCAAGACTGCAGTGAGCTGTAATCATGCTACTTGCACTCCAGCCTGGGCAACAGAGCGAGAGCCTAACAAGAGAGAGAGAGAGAGAGAGAGAGAGAGAGAGAGAGAGAGAGAGAGAGTGTGTGTGTGAGAGAGAGTGAGAGAGAGTGAGAGTGAGAGAGAGAGAGAGAGAGAGAGAGTCCGGAGAGTCTGCATTGTTCTTCCTATAGGTCAAGGATCACCAAATTATTCTGTAAAGGGCCAGACAGTAAATATTTAAGGCTTCGCGGCCATAAGGTCTTTGTCACAATTACTCATCTCTGCCCTTCCTGTGCAAAGGCAGCTACAGACAATTTGTAAACAAATAAGCATGCCTGTGTTCCTATAAAAGTTTACTTACAAAAACAGTGGGCAATCTGGCCCATGTGTGCCAGTTTGCTGACCCCTATTATACAGATAATAGGGCTATAGTAAGGTTTCTATAATCGAGTTTAGTAATCGAGTTTCTATAATCAAATATAGTAAGTTTCTAAATCGAGTGTTAAGATTAACTGATGACAATGTAACCAGAAGGAGAAGATCTAGGAGTTTCCATATTGAAACCAAAGTATGGTCCCTTTTATCTTTCTATAATCATTCTGGAACAGTGCTGTCCAATGGAGATACAGAGTAAGCCACGAATGTGAGCCAGGTATGTCATTTTAATTTTTTCCTTTTTTTTTTTTTTTTTTCAGAGACAGGGTCTCACTCTGTCATCCAGGCTGTAGTACAGCGGTGCAATCATAGCTCACTGTAACCTCAACTCAGGCTCAAGCAATCCTCCCACCTTGGCCTCCTAAAGTGCTGGGCTTACAGGTGTGAGCCACCAAACCTAGCCTATTTAAATTTTCTAGAAGCCACATTTAAACACACTTTTAAAAGCAGGTGAAATTAATTTAAATAATTATTGTATTTAACCCGATATACCCAAAATATTGCCATTTAACACACAATACAAAAATTGAGATATTTTACATTCTTTTTTCATAGTAAGTCTTCAAAATCAATGTGCATTTTCATATATAAAGCTCAACAATTCAGATAAGGCCTATTTCAAATGTCTAATAACCACATTTGGCTAGCGGCTACCATACTGTAAAGCATTAAAAGAATGATTAACTAAACCCACAGATTTCCATATGCAGCTGCTAGTTTGGGTACCATCTCCTTGAGTGGCTTGCCATTGATTTTTGACCTAATTTTAAACTATATATACTACGGTTTCACATTACTGGCAACTCAATAAGACAAAGTCTTCATTTTTTATATTACATTTGCACACCACTTAGTTTGCACATACAATTTCACACCTGATCCTCATTACAATCACGTGAATACGCCATGTTATATCAGTTTTCGAAATGAGAAAAGAACGTTCAGAGACAGACAACTGTAGAGTGTTGGAACTGAGAAAAAAAATTTAAGTCTCCTGACTTCTGGTCAAATCCATTTACGCCCCAATAATACGCCCCTTAATCAAAGTTGCGCTTCACCTGTGCGACTGTTCTTTATTTCCTCCGATGACTGTAAACTCCGTGAAGAAAACGACTGTTTTTCCTGACCACTGTATTCCCGGCGCCCAGTAAGGTGTTTTACAAGTAGGCAATATCTACTTAATGAGTATTTACTGAATGTTTCTGATTTTCTCATTTTTAGTCGGTTAAATGTAACTTATTTTTTTAAAGTAACGTGAAGAGCCAAAGTACACCACCAAATTGGTAGGTTTTTAAAAGTTGAACTTTACTGCCAACATACTTCAAAAGAGACCGGGGGAAAAGGCTGGCAGCCAAGGCCAGAGTTCCAGTGCTGACTCTGCCATGAACTGTCTGTGGGCCCTCACGTAAACTTTTTTAACTTCTCTGGGTCAGAGTTCTTACCTGCCAAAAGGCAAGAGCAGGGCTGTAATCTTCACGACTCCTTTCGGAGCGAGGGTTCTGGCATCAACTCGATGTGAGCCGGTTTCCTGTTCCCTCACACCCTTCCTCCAGACCCCCCTACAACGCCCGACTTAGTGAGAGAGGTAGCCACGGGCCCTCTGGGTTCCCCATCCGCTTTCTAGGGGGCCGACAGGACACCCAGGTGCGAAGCGGGGCCCACTGGCCGGAACCGCCATCTTCCCCCATTGGCCGGACCCCAACCGCCACCCGCGGGCACTGGGGGACGCGGACCTTACCTCTCCTCGCAGTCTTTGCATTTCACCTGCAACGGGACTAGCTGGTGGAACAGAACTTGGCTCATGCTGGCTCGCTGCCCCGGCTGGTGTGCGGAAACGCCCAACAGGCCCGGCCCTCGAAACTAGCGAGAGAAACGTCCGGGTCCTGATAAAGTTTGAGTTTGGCGCTCGGCTTCTGCGGAGGAGGCGGGGAGAGACAAACGAGAGGAAGACGTAAGAGGCTTGGCCCTCGCCAGCCACCATCGCATTCTTCCGGTTCTGCGTAAGATACAGGGAAGGCGGTTATGGTAGTTCCGGGCATTAACCTGTATGGCAGCGGCTGAGGCCGCCATGCTTGTTAAGGGAAGAGGACCCGAAGGAAGCTGACAACTTTTCCTCTGGTGGCCGGATGCTCGACACCGGAAGCTAGTCCTGAGTTATGGCGACCTCCGCGACGTCGCCGCACGCGACTGGTTTTCCAGCTGAGGGTCGATGTGGTTACTATGTGGAAAAGAAGAAACGGTTCTGCAGGATGGTGGTGGCCGCAGGGAAAAGATTCTGTGGTGAACACGCTGGAGCCGCGGAGGTGTGGTATCGCCTTACTCTCTCCAGAGTCGGAAATAAGTATCCTGATGCTGTCGGTGTTGGAACCCGGCGCCTCCCCTCTTTGACAGGTTTCTGCTTGTGTCCCCTGGATTCTCCAGCTTTCACTTTAATAAACCCAGTTTTGCCCTCCTGACGGAACAATTATGAGTTCTAGTGATGAGAATTGTTTTATTTTACTAAGGAAAGCTCTAGCAGCGACCCGTTTATCTTGGATCGTAACTCATAGCAATGCTAGATATTAGTTTTACCCCAAGCTACCGCTCCGCCTTCATGCTGGAAAGTGGTCGTTTAGAAAAAGTAGTGATTGAGGTCTCGAAGGTTTCACTAATTGTGCTGTAGTTGTCATTTCATGAAAGAGAAGCACTTCTCAAGAATTCGGTTGGAAGAAACTTTCTTTAAAAAATTTGGACTTAACAAACAAACAAAAGTTTAGACTTGAGGCCGGGCACGGTGGCTCATGACTGCAATCCCAGCACTTTGGGAGACCAAGGCGGGCAGATCACTTGAGGTCAGGAGTTTGAGACCAGCCTGGCCAATATGGTGAAACCCTCTCAGTACTAAAAATATGAAAATCAGCCGGGCGTGATGGCGCGCAGCCTGTAACCCTAGCTACTTGGGAGGCCGAGGCAGGAGAATCGCCTAAACCTATTAGGTGGAGATGGCAGTGAGCTGAGATCATGCCACTGCATTCCAGCCTAAGTGACAGCCAGACTGAGTAAAAAGAAAAATTGTTTTTTACAATTTTTAAGAATGCAACTCTGCTGGAATGGAAAGATTTTTAAATATATATGAATTGACCTTTTACAATTGAGAACAAAGCATACAATTTTGATAACAGTTATGCATATAAATGTACTATCTAACACTGTATATTTGTATATCTGCATATTATTTTAGGATGGATGTGTATGTATATGTATGATGGGAAAATGAAAACCAGACGAGCAAAATGCTGATAGAAAAAGAGCATGTCTAATAGAGCTATAAAGAATAAACCAAAGACATCAGCATCTGATTCAGATCAACCTGGAATGTCCAGTATTATTTGAATTATTTTATTTCTTAAGCAGTTTATTCATCTAGACAATATCCAGTGCAGATCAGTCCCCTGACCTCCTTCATCTGTCACTCTCCGTCATAGCTATAGCCCACTTCCTATTTTGTTTTGACTGGCATTTACTGAAAGTGAAGCATACTGAAACAAGGACATTCTTGTTTTGGAGTATGAGAGACGTGACTTGTGGAAACTCTGAATTATGTCCATAGTTTTATTGACTGGTTTTGAGGGGACTGCCAAACATTTCTTGGTTAAAGAATGTGAGTTATGAAAGGAGAAGGATTTAGATTCCATCTTATCTAAATATCTGGATGGTGAATACAAATGGTGATGATAGTAGAATATGAATAAATCCTTACAAACCGATCAGTATTCCTAGAGAGGAACGACATGTTGTCATTAGTCCCTTGAAGAAAGACTACAAAACATAAGTGGGAAACACTTTTCGTGACTACTATCTGGTTTTAAATTGTGGCTATCCTCCTTAATCTGTAATTTATGATATAACTGGATTTTGTGTTTCCATCTTTTTTTTCTAAGTGTCATATATAGCTGTGATGACACCACTCATTTTTACCCAGTGATTTTTCGACTAGGACTGACTGATTTTGCCCCCAGTGGACAGTTGGTGAAATAAAGACATTTTGGTTGTCACAACTGAGGAGTATCACTGACATCTAATGGACAGAGACCAGAAATGCTGCTAAACCTCCTACAAAGCTTGGGGCAGACCCCTGCACTCACCTCCCCAAAAGACCAGCCCAAAATGTTGTTAGTGCCAAGACTGAGAATCCCTGTTTTAATTCAAATAATAAATGTTTAATGTCCTTTTTCCCCCTGTGCTACAGTTAGGCTTTCAGGGGTTAGAATAGTCTTTTACATGGAGGTTAGGATTTAAAGTCAGCAAATAAGGAAGAATTAGTATACAGTATTTGCTTTTCCTTTTATTGAATATACAGTATTTTCCAAAAAACATTGAAAATTTCTTAGCTTTCCCATAAAATTCAGTGTGAATAGCTTCATGGACATGCTGAGAGGCACATTAGAACACAAATTTTAAAAATAATAGCAGACATTTAGTCACCACTTACTCTGTGGCCAGCACTGTGCTAGGCAGTTTTGTTTTGTTTTTTAACTATTAGCTCACTTAATTTGTTCAAACTTCAAGAAGTAAGACATATTATTGTTCTCATCTTTCAGATGAGGCAGTAAGCCTATCAAATTAAGGTCATAGGGCCTGTAGCTGGTAGATAGAGCTGGGTGTAATGCCTAGGCAGTCTGGCTGGCCTGTATCTTAACTGTTAAACAATCCCTGTTTATACAGATTCATGTGGAATATTGGGTAGAATTGCCAATACTATCAATTTTTCTTTCTTTTTCTCAGTTCATATTGTCATGTGCCACATAATGACATTTCAGCCAACAACAGATCACATATATGATGGTGGTCTCATAAGGTTATAATACTGTACTTTTACTGTACCTTTTATATGTTTAGATATGTTTAGATACACAAATATTTACATTGTGTTACATTTGCATACAGTATTTAGTATGGTAACATGCTGTGTAGGTTTGCAGCCTGGTAGCCATGGGCTATACTTCATAGGCTAATTGTGCAGTAAGCTATACTATCTAGGTTTCTTCTCACAGTGATATTGTCACAGTGACAAAATCACCTAAAGATACATTTCTCAGAATATATTCCCTCATCAAGTGAGCCACAACTAGTTAAATCTATGTAACTTAGAAATAAACAGGATGTAACTAATACTAAAAAGTTGCAAAGCCAGTAAAATATAGCACATACCAAATGGTTAAAATACCATGTTTCATTGTTTTTAAGAAACTTTATTTTTACATTTTAACATTCTAAAATCAGGATACATCTTAAAATGCCTATGTCAATGGGCAGCATTTTCCAAAAAAATGGTAAGTATGTGAGGCAATGCATGTGAATTAGCTTGATTTAGCCATTCCACAATGTATACATATTTAAAAACATAATGTATTAAAACCATATACATAAAATACTGTATATTTTTATTTCCATAAAAAACACACTTACTTTTGTACCAACCTAATATGTGATAAATCTTTTTTTTTTTTGAGATGGAGTTTCGCTCTTGTTACCCAGGCTCGAGTGCAATGGCGCGATCTCGGCTCACCGCAACCTCCGCCTCCTGGGTTCAGGCAATTCTCCTGCCTCAGCCTCCTGAGTAGCTTGGATTACAGGCATGTGCCACCATGCCCAGCTACTTTTTTGTATTTTTAGTAGAGACGGGGTTTCACCATGATGACCAGGATGGTCTCGATCTCTTGACCTTGTGATCCACCTGCCTTGGCCTCCCAAAGTGCTGGGATTACAGGCTTGAGCCACTGCGCCCGGCCCTATGTGATAAATCTATACAACTATTTGTCAGTTTAAATAATTTAAAATGAAATAGGTAACTTTTTTCTTTCTTGGTTGTGCATAAAATGGTCATGCATATAAATAGTTGATGCTATCTTGGATTCCAGACACCACATGTAGGCCTTCTCTATAACCTATTTGAAACTATAGACCATTGTTTGTCCAAAGCAGTATTTGTTCATAATATATTTAAGCCAATTTATCCTGGATATTTTTTGTTGTTAAACCTTGAGACCTGATTTTGCCAACTTTTCATTATAGCCTTTTAAGGTTTCCTTACCTTGTTTTGCTATTACAGAGACACTGAAATTATATCTGGTATCTGTAAGCAATAAACTTGATATTTTATTTAAATAATATATCCCTTAATTTATTAGGAAGAAGATGCTCGGAAAAGAATCCTGTGTCCTTTAGACCCAAAACAGTAAGTATGGATCAAATATGGGTTTATTTTGTGCTGGAAACAGTAATTGGTGCATATCTCATTTGAAATAATTTTCTATTTAAATTTAGCACAGTATATGAAGATCAACTAGCAAAGCATTTGAAAAAATGTAACTCAAGAGAGAAACCAAAACCTGTAAGTGTTTGATTGGTAAAATTGAGCAGTGAAATGTGGTATATAATGCCTCAGTAGATGCTACACGTTGAATGGACTTGTTTCATAGCTGAGGAACCCAAACTCAGGAAGTATAAATTTTTTTTTTAAAGAGATAGGATCTCACTCTGTCACCCAGGTTGGAGTGCAGTGGCATGATCATAGCTCACTGTAGCCTTGAACACCTGGGCTCAAGCAATCTTTCCTCATCCTCATGAGTAGCTGGGACTATAGGCAAACAACACCACACTTGGCTAATTTTTTATTTTTTTGTAGAGACAGGTTCTCACTGCATTGCCCAGGCTGGTCTTGAACTGCCGGTGTTAAAGCAGTACTCCTGCCTTGACTAGCATTATACGCATGAGCCTCAAATCCAGCCAGAAAATACAAATATTTTTAAATTGGGTAGTAAGCAAACCTGCCTGACTTGTTCTGTAAGTATTTGTTTATTACACTGTACAATAAGGGTTGCCATGTGATCAAGGAGGTGACACATCATTTCTGTCTCCCAAGGGTGCTTGGTATTCAAGCTCCCTTGAAATGGTAGTCCAGGTAAAAAGGT